ACTCACGGCCCTCGCGCGAATGGTTTGCGTGCGCGCGCAAGTGCAATCGTTTCTCCGCTATTTCATTTCAGCGAGTGCTTTGTATAGAGGATTTTAATTGGCTGTTTTTGTGTTGTTGTTTGTTAATATTGTAATATATATTGCGCCAGTGATTACATTTTCCCAGGAGGCACAGCTGGAGATTATCCACTTTCCTGGGCGGGGGGTTGTTTTCTTCTCTGCGTGCACACATTAGCTGGAGGTTGTCCTTACAATAAAAAGAGTCAATGAGGGCAACAAAAATAAAAATACGTCAACGTAATCGACCGCAACAGCCGTTAATTGGCCGATAACGCCTTCATATGTAGGGGACCGCAGAGCTTGGGAGTTTGTTGGCGCCGTCACGTCACCCACGGCGCCTCTTTCGAGTCGTTCTCTCTGTTCGCGAGCGAGAGAGCGAGCGCCGTGTGGCTGCGGCGCATTGCAAGTTGATGTCATCGTCATCGTCGTTATGATGATGATGACTGCGATCACATCGGCAGCATCGCCCTGCGGCAGAAACACTGAGGCCTGCTGCTGCCCGACGGCGAGGCATGCGAGTGGGGCGCTAAACAAACGAGGTTCCTAATAAAATTATAATAACAGGGCTTTTCCCCTTTTTTCTGGCAACAAAACTGAAACCTTTTGACAAGGATTCATGTCTGCATTAATCACAATACTTGCAGTCAAAATGCAAACAAAAACACACTATGGTAATATATGCATTGTCCTTGAAACTGATTAGTCCATACCAAGGGACGGCTTTCTTTCGAGCCTCGACCCAATTGGTGCTCGACCAGAGGACGCCAAAAAGCGCACAGCTCAAAGACAACGCACCATCAAAGTAATGAGGGCTCGGGGTGAGCATCTACATCATTAGACCTCCTTTGCCAGTACCAAATCCTAATAATAGGGCTTTTCCCCTTTTTTCTGGCAACAAAACTGAAACCTTTTTACGAGGATTCATGTCTGCATTAACCACAATACTTGCAGTCAAAATGCAAACAAAGCTGTCCCTTTGTGTGGACCAATCAGTTTGAAGGACAATGCATATATTATCATAGTGTGTTTTTTGTTTGCATTTTGACTGCAAGTATTGTGGTTAACGCAGACATGAATCCTTGTAAAAAGGTTTCAGTTTTGTTGCCAGAAAAAAAGAGGAAAAGCCCTGTTATTATATTTTGCTACTGGCAAAGAAGGTCTAATGATGAAACGAGGCTCCGTTCGTTGTGGTTAGAATCCACGTGCACGTGACCCAACACGATTGCGACGATGACAGCCCGAACCCGCCGCATTTTCATCGCAGTCGCCCTCATTTTGGAAGGTGGCTTAGTTTGAGTGAACATCATGCACAAGTGCGTTTACAAAATAACACGGTATACCTTGGTATGTACACACATCTCACGTTCTCGAAAGCTACCTCTAGATACGATACGCTCTATAATACACTCACTACGCTGAAACATCGTGTGCATGCCTTCTGAAATTAGCTGCTTAAAATATATATATATAAAAGAAGTATAATCAGGCTATTGTGTTGGCATTTTGTTCTTACGACGTAAAAAAAGTGAATTTTAAACGTACAGTTTTACGGTTAGTCACTTTCAAACGTAATCAGTCTGCAATTACCGATTTACCAAGGTTTTTAGAAGTAGCGTAACCCTCTATTTGGTGTCTTCACAGGAGCGTCATACAGTCACTTGACTACTCTTGAATACGTGCTTCATTTAACGTACAGATGGGGTGGAGTGGTGGCGCAGCGGTTAGCGCGCTGAACTACAAACCCAGCGACCTAATATTCCATTCGTGGTCATGGCCAACATCACCACCCCCTTCACCGACCCACACTCACAAGTGTGGTGAAGTATGGTCAAATAACCCCAAGGACGCTCAAGCATTGGCAAGATCACCATCCATCAATGTCAATTATCTTAACCTCGTGATCTTTAGCGCCATGCTTTGACTGTATGATCTTTAACGAATATCTACGTTCATGGGCTGCTACTGCTGCTGCTGCTGCTCTGTTAGCTTCAAGCCCGTGCCAGTGACACGACTGAGTGATTGTAAAAAGAGTAACCAGCCGGTGATCGCCACGTACAAGGTGACTTGACTTGTTTACACGCTGAAAATGGAGTTTCATGCAGGATTACCGATATACGCGATACTTTCTTCATCCAATTGCAGGAACGGATACTTAGAAAACGTTGCCGCTAACAGTGCTTTGATATATGACCAGTTGCCTTTGTGTTAGAGGAACACCGATTTTGTACTGTCACGTGGTATAGCGTTATAAACATTGCTGGTTTTGATATATATACATACATATTTCCACGCCTTATCGCACACGGGTTAACATTTCCAAATGAGACAGAACGTAAACTCCCTCCTCTATTTTGTTCTAAGTACAGTGATTAATAATAACGATAATAATACATACTTAGACATGCTCTTTTGTAATAGGGTTAAATATAAGGTGGTCCCCGATCGGTGAATCTACAACCGCGCGTGTCAGTGCATTTACGTGGACAGGCAATCGTGTCTCTGTTAACATGAACGCTACGGTACACAATATCATTCCTTTATATTCTGCGCGAGTTTTGAACGGAGATTCACTTCCTTGCCATTGGCAACACGAGCAATTCCAGACGGGACTAGGAACACGCGTAACGTATTTTTTTTTAGGACGTACACATTTCAACCAAAAACAACTTTGTACAAGCGCCGCCGTTTAAATTTTGACGGATGCAATGATTCATCCCTAACCGAAAATGTAAAGAGTTACGGGTTCGGGATCATTTGAACACGTAGGCTTTCGAGACCAACATCATCCATAACACACGAGTTTTGGGTTAGATCGCGTACATACATAAATGTGTCTACGCCTCTATATAAGGAACGAAACAGGTGGACTTCTCCACAAATCTGGCTGTCGCCTGATGAAGCTGGTTGTAATTACTGGCGAAACGTCATAAATGTTGTGGCTTGGCTCTCCAACACACCGGTGTTGTACCGGCACGTTCTGTTTACGTGACAAACCTTACTAGTTGGCTGTGTCGGGTGGTGGCGGGTTTAACGGCACATTTATATACGGATTCGAGATCATGATTTCGGTCCCAAAAAACATCTGTTGTGTTTTTTTTCGGGCCGTAGACTCTACGGCGGGTACGATGTGTATCGAGCCAAGCTGTGGCATGCGGGAGACTTCAGGGCCAGATTCACCTGGTCACGTAGGCCGTCATTTCCTCCGGCTTTTGACAGAACGAGGGCTCCTTTTGATATCGCAGTTTTTTTTGGGGGGGTTTAGATCGCGTGAATATAAACGTGTCGGTAAACCCACCACCGCCCGACACAGCCAATGAGCAAGGTCTGTCACGTAAACAAAACGTGACAATCGGTGGCTACTTCAGCGCACACTTTCGCTGGAGACGACAACAAACAGTTCTAGATTTGAAGCTTTCGTGACTGCAAGGATTCAAATTCTTAGGTTTTTTCGGTAAAGTCACGTAGGTAAAAAATTAAAATTAATGAAAGTAAAATAAAATTAAAATAAAATAAAAATCACGACGTTTCGGAGGCAACACAAGCTTCCGTCTTCAGGTGGAACCGTCACAGCACGACTGCTGTATCAAGTGAGAGAAATTCCAAGAACACAGTATTTGTATATATACTGGTTGAGGGTGGAAGGAGCCAAGGTAGGCCCTGAATAGTATTATAACATCGTGATTTTTATTTTTATTTTATTTAACTTTTAGTAATTTTAATTTTTTTACCTACGTGACTTTACCGAGACAACGGCTTCGTCGTGCGATGAACCAGATTTGCGCACGGCCCTGGGAATAAGAATCCACGCGCGGTGGTGAACCCCGCCACCGCGTTGCGCAATCACGGAACGACCCGACGACGGGAGGGGAGAGGGAGGCTTCAGCTGGAGCCGACGGGGAGCGGAAAGTTCACGACGTGACGCAGGGAGCCGCGTCGCCTGGCGTGCGAGGGCGTGACACGTAGCAGAGCCCCGCTGTGTCAATAATGAAGAAGAAGAGGATTACATTTTGACTTAAAATTTTCGTGACTGCGGAGATTCATATTTTTTTCGGTAAAGTCACGTAGATAAAAAATTTTAAAAATGAAATTTAAATAAAAAATGTAAGAAAAAATTTTGAAAATAATTTTAGACGCAATTTTTTTTTTATCTACGTGACTTTACCGAAAGAACCAAGAATAAGAAGATGATTCTGCAACTTGTTTTCCCCACTCCTCTGGGCAATGTTTTGCTCTGGACTTTTCAGCGAGTGGCGGAATGAGGGCACGCGTGCACGTGAAGGAGACGAGATGATGGATACACAAATAAATATGAATGTCGTGGATTATAATAACGATGTTGTAGATACATTGCTGATTATTATGATGTTGCTGTTAACATTGCTGCTGCTGATGATGATGATGATCCAGAAGAGGTAGTGTTCCCAGGAAAGCCTCACTGTGCTGATCTTAATGCCAAGATTTCGTAAAAACAAGAAAACCCACTCGACATGAATGAGGGCCTTTGATGTCCCATTGGGTTCCTGCCTGGTGAAATTAAGTTGATAAAGTGTCAAACACTTCAAATATACAAACTGAAAAGAATCAATTGTTACGTGCAGGATTCAATACATGCTTCACAAGTTTACGAATCAAAGTCAGTTAATTGATTTGATGAATCATTACATCCGTACCAAATATAATCTGAAAATAAAACGCACGGCGTAAAAATGCAATTTCACATTTTCTGTGTGCATATATTTACTTACTCCAAAATATATATTTCTCAAACGTGCGTGGCCTTTTTCAAGAACGCGTGCCACTCTCTCATTTACATTTTAAGTTTTTTTTTTATTCTCCGAGTATTTATTTTCGCATCTCCCACACGCACCCTGTCCTCCGAGCGACAAGCAAAACATCCCAGACGTGACTTCAAACGCCGGTCGGGCTCGCCGCGAAACCAACCAACGAGACATCTCATCCGGCAATCACGGTGAGAAACCCCCCCTCCCTCTCCCACACGACCGCCCCCCCCCCCCATCACCAAAATCACGAAACGACGACAAAACCGACGGCGACTTTCCCTACATCTCGGACCGCAACTCGTTCCCTGCCTCGTCCGCTCCGTCGCCATCGCTCGCGTGAACGCAAATGACGATCGAATTTTCCGGCACAGCCGCAACCGCCGCTTCAGCTTCACCCTCGGCGGGCGCGGCAGCTCGCGGACCGGCCGAGTACGGCGACGGCTGCCCGCCGGGGCGCGACGACAACGCCGCCGCCACCGCCGGGCCCCTCGTCGGCGTCGGCGGGGACGCTCCGTCGGTGGCGCACGGCGGGCCGGCCTCGGAGTGCCGGGGCGAGGGGCGCGCCGAGCCGGGCTGCGGCGAGCGGCCGTTCGGGTCGGGCGCCCCCCCTCCTCCTTCGCCGCCGCCGTCGTCGTCGTCGCCGGCGGTGGCGGCGGCCTCCGTGGCGCCCGGTGGGCCGCCCATCGCCACCGCGGGAGACGGAGGCGCCGAGTGCTGCGTCGTCCGCAGGTGCTTCATCATGGCCGTGACGCGCACCGCCTTCTGTTGGGGGTGGCGCGCGCGGGGCGCAGGGGGAGCGGGGTGGTGGGTAGGTGGGTGAGCGGGGTGGTGGGTGGGTGAGCGGGGTGGTGGGTGGGTGAGCGGGGTGGTGGGTGGGTGAGCGGGGTGGTGGGTGGGTGGGTGAGCGGGGTGGTGGGTGGGTGAGCGGGGTGGTGGGTGGGTGGGTGAAGAGGTGGTGGGTGGGTGGGTGAGCGGGGTGGTGGGTGGGTGGTGGGTGGGTGAGGGGGGTGGTGGGTGGGTGGGTGAAGAGGTGGTGGGTGGGTGAAGAGGTGGTGGGTGGGTGGGTGAGCGGGGTGGTGGGTGGGTGAGGGGAGTGGTGGGTGGGTGGGTGGGTGAGGGGGGTGTTGGGTGGGTGGGTAGGTAGGAGGAGGCCCTCTTTCTACCTACGTGACTTTACCGAAAGAACCAAAGAGTATGGATTCCTGCAGTCACGAAAGCATTAAATCAAGATTGAGGCCCTCTAAGTTTTTTGAGTCGCTTGTGTCTCGTCGTGCCCCAGGCCTGATGATGAGCGTCGTGCCGCAGGCCGTGCCCGGCTCGTCAGCTGCGGCGTCGCCGCTCGTCACAGAGGCTCCGACCACTCGCCGCCGCAAACGGAGTTCGTGTCCCGGGCGTGGTCGACGCTTCCGGAGGTTCACGTTGCGGCAGCGGACGCCTCTAGCGGCGGCCCCTCTCGGGGGCCTCATGCGGGGGCCCCTCTCGGGGGCCTCTAGCGGGGGCCTCTAATGGGGGCCTCTAGCGGTAGCCTCTCTCGGGGGCCTCCAGCAAAAGCCTCTAGCAGCGGCCTCTCTCGGCGGCCTCTCTCGGGGGCCTCCAGCGGGGGCCTATAATTGGGGCCTCTAGCAGGGGCCTTCAACGGATAACTCCAGCGGGGGCCGTCATTGATACTGTGGGTTTAAGCAAGGGACAGCCGGGCTGGATGTACTTGCTGTGAGAAACGAACCCGTGCCTTTAGGAGGAGCCTTGCGTCATTAGCCGCCGCGAGAGAGAGAGAGAGCGAGCGAGTGAGCGAGAAAGCGAGCGAGAGAGTGAGCGAGCGAGTGAGCGAGAAAGTGAGCGAGAGAGTGAGCGAGAGATAGAGCGAGAGAGAGAGAGTGAGTGAGCGCTCGAACGGCACTCACCTTCCACTTGGTCTTCGCGAAGTTCTTCTCGATCTGAGCGCAGACGCCATCCTTGATGTTCTTGTCCGATGCCGCATTTCCGGACACCCTTGAGGGCACACACACACACACAGAGAGAGAGAAAGAGTGAGTGAGTGAGTGAGAGAGTGAGTGAGTGAGTGAGAGAGTGAGTGAGTGCAGCACACTCTTCTTTGCTTCTGGAGGGGCACTGGCGTGTGTGTACGGGTGGGTGTATACAAACACCACTTGCCCTAACGCTATGATACAGGCTACATGGGGGACCTTTGTCTTTGCCTGTGTGGGGGGCGCTGGTGTAACAACAGTTGGTGCGACAAACCTGGCGACCCGAATTCGCTTCCTGCTCAAGGCCGACGCGGGTGATGATAATCAGCCTTAAATGTTTTACTTGGTGCGGTGTGTAAACATCGCCACTAGGGAGACAAAGGTGGCTGAGCGTGGTGCTGGCCACACCACCCCTTCATGTGCCGTTACGGCCTTCATAGGTGCCCGCGAACAGCGCTTGCCCCAACAGTCTGTTGGGGCTACACATGAGATCTTTGTTTTTTGGGTTGCAAGACAGGCAGGTAATACGGACAAAGACGGAGAGAGACATTGAGGCAGAGAAAGGTAGAGTGAGATGAACATCCTGCAAATGCTTCATCCGGCACTCCAAATTCCTCACGCGCACAAAATATTAATTTTGGAACTGTCAAAACATCGCCGGCAGAACTCTCTAAAATGAAAAGCGTCTTGAGACGTGGGGCGAAACAACGTCGTGCTCTTCAGATTAGCACGGTTGGCAATGTACGGTGCAAAAGAGGTTCAACATGCACACACAAACAATAATTATCGCCATTGCGGAGAAGGCAAATAATTGAAATCAATCAAGATGAAAGGAGAGATTGTTTTACTCAACGCATCAGTCGCACAGCCTTCTGGGAATGCATTTTCTCAGCAGCATTGTGGGTTTTTTTCTCTTCTTATTCTTCTTCGAAAATACCAAACTCTTGTATTTAGTGTCTCGTCAGCAGAGCGTTATTGAGCAAAGGTTAGTTGGGTAAAGGAAAGGACACAATTCCACTATTGTCATCGTGTATTTTCATTGTTGATTTCATCAGCAGTCTTCACGTTTTATATATAGATGTATAAATAACAACTGACTTCAAATCCACAGATTTCAAGGTGAGAACAAATGAAACATTGATCCACAATGCTTTGTCTAACCCCTTGAACTGAACACATATTTTACCCGTGGTTTTGTTTGTAGTTTTTCCCTCTCTAAACTCATCGATCTGTCTTCTTTCTCCGAGCCGAACGACGCTGACGCGCCCCCGCTGTGGGCTGCGCGAACGCTAACACGACCGCAGGCATCACTTTGGCTTTGAAGGGCAACATTTCGTGCACACGTGTGCATGGCGCAGAGTGGTGGCGCAGCGGTTAGCACACTGCGATACGACCCCCCCCCACCCCCCGGCTCATGGTTACAAAGGAGGTTTTGAGGACTCGGCTATTGGAAGGTCGGGGAGTTCAAGTCCCATGCGGAAGTCGAACTTACTTATCAATCATCCGTCTGGGGTCAATATAAAATGAGCACCGCTTCAAGCGTTGGACAAGGGCGAGGTGTTAAAATTACCTCGCCTGGTGTGCAGGAGGTCGTGGGTTCGATCCCGACCCTGACGTGTGCTGTATATTTGGAGTTTGCGTCTCTCTCTCTCATCATCATCATGGTGGTGAGATGTTAACTACCTCGTCTGGTATGCAGGAGGTCGTGGGTTCGATCCCGACCCTGCCGCCTGCTGCTGTATATTTGGAGTTTGCGTCTCTCTCTCATCATCATCATCACGGTGGCTAGCAGATGTTAATGACCTCGCCTGGTGTGCAGGAGGTCGTGGGTTCGATCCCGACCGTGATGTTTGCTGTAGATTTGGAGTTTGTATGTCTCTCTCCCCGTGGTCACGTGGATTTTTCTCCGGGTCCTCCGGTTTTTCCCTCCACATTTAGAATCAAAGTGCGTTTAGAGTATTTGGCTGCTATAAATGTCCACGTGACAATAAGCCACTTCATTGAGCTATCATTTTGTGGCCAGGTCGCTTCTGAAAAAGAGCTACGTAGCTCAGTGGGGCCTTACCTGGGAAGAAAATAAAATAGTTTGGTAAATAAATAGTTTAGTTTTACATCAGTGACGGGAAATTAATTAGCTTCGTCTTGAGACCCCACTCGTTACCAATCCATCTTGGTCACAAATCCCTCATGGCTCGACACAGTGCGTGGTGGCCTTCATCCACAAAGTGTACCGATAAGCCAATGTATTGTGTATTATTATGGTAATTATTATTATTATAATAAAGCATATGCGTCGAGCCTATTCCTTCCCACAGCCCTCCCCCTGTACTGTGATTCCAACGAAGCCTGCGGAATGATGAATTACATTTGAGACCATCGCTCGCCCCGTGAATGCATGCAACCCCTGTGCAGCGCCTGCACCCCTGGTGTGTACGTGTGGTGTGTGTGGTTGCGCGTGGTGTGTGTGGTGCGTGTGATGCGTGTGGTGTGTGTGGTGCACGTGGTGCGTGTGGTGCGTGTGCTGCGTGTGTGGTGCGCGTGGCGCGTGTGGTGCGTGTGGAGTCACGGGGGGGGGTCGGGGGCTCTCCTGGGTGTGCTCTGCGGAGAGGAGACGCGAACCCAGGGGTGTTGTATCTGGGACACGACCTGGAAATGGGTGAACGTTTGCTATTTTAACACCGGCGCAAGGGGCGAGAAGGGGGGGAGGTGGGACGGGGGGCCATGGTGTTCACGGATGCATGCGCACCCTCTCGACACTCATTTGGGAGGCGGCGGTGGTAACATTCACAGCAAGAAGGACCCGGGTTTGATTCCTGACTCGGTCTCACTTCTGTGTGGAGTTTGTATGTTCTTCACCTGCTCTGCAGAGTGACAGTGTGAGTGGGCGAGTGTGTGCTTGTGAGAGTATTTGTTCGCGTGTGTGTGTGTGTGGAAGTTGTATATTCTTCCCCTGTTCTACCGACACACACTCACACCGTCAATCTGCTTGCGAATATCTGAACCGGTCCTGGGCCTCCCCTAGGTCGACTCAGCCTCAAACGAGTACCTGGTGCGGTGTGTCAACATCGCCACTCGGCAGACAAATTCGGGCGGGCGTGGTGCTGGCCACCCACCCCCTCGTGCGCCGTGCCGGCCTTCATAGGTGCTGCTCGCTAACAGCACTTGCCCCAACAGTCTGCTAGAGGCTACGGGGTGGGGGGGGGGGGGTATCTTTGTCTTTGTTGTCGCGGCGTCGTCGTTGCTGTGCGAGGACAAGTAACCTACCACGGGTGGGCGATGGCCTCCTGCGCAGTGATGCGCGTGTTCTGGTCCACGTCCATGAGCCTCGTCACCAGCTCCTTGGCTGCACGACACGCACACAGCCGCTCAGAGCCACAATGAGCAGAGCCGCTCAGAGCCACCATACCCACACAGCCGCTCAGAGACACAATGATCACACAGCCGTTCAGAGCCACCATGTCCACACAGCCGGTCAGAGCCACAATGAGCAGAGCCGCTCAGAGCCACCATGCCCACACAGCCGCTCAGAGCCACAATGATCACAGCTGGTCAGAGCCACCATGCCCACACAGCCGCTCAGAGCCACAATGATCACAGCCGCTCAGAGCCACAATGATCACACAGCCAGTCAGAGCCACCATGCCCACACAGCCGCTCAGAGCCACAATGAGCAGAGCCGCTCAGAGCCACCATGCCCACACAGCCGCTCCGAGCCACAATGAGCAAAGCCGCTCAGAGCCACCATGCCCACACAGCCGCTCAGAGCCACAATGAGCAAAGCCGCTCAGAGCCACCATGTCCACACAGCCGCTCAGAGCCACAATGTTCACAGCCGGCCACACAGCACCCAGACGGCTGTACATACACAGGACTGGTGTCAATCCACTGCTGAACTTCAATACACTCACCATGATGATGATGATGATTATCATTATAACGAGAATGCGATTCGTAACGCGCTGCGTGACATTTCGCGGACACAAATGACCGCGACTCTGAAGGGCGGGAGCCAAGCTTGGCGTCGTTCGAAGGCCAGGACCCCAAGAGGTGGGCCCTTTAAGAAAGAGGTGGGCCCTTTAAGAAAGAGGTGGGCCCTTTAAGAAAAAAATTAACCCGTAAAAACAAAGTTTTTCACTATAAATCCTTTATATGCGTGGCGGCTAGAGTCCTCTCGTCCTCTGGCTTGAGATGGCTGCCACCTATGGGTCAGATGATTGCCTGCGACCATTAAGCAATTGGTAATCAAATATAAAAAAAAATTCCTAAAAAGTGTAAAGTTATGGAAAACATTTTTCACGAAAATAAATTGTCACGCACAACGAGTCTGTGTGCAAAATGTCAGCTCGATTGGATCACGGGAAGTGGGTTAAAAAACGACCGAAAGATTTGCATGGTCGTAAGCGCGCAAGTAAGTGAACTTAATATAAAGGATTTAAAAAGAGGGGCTATTGCCATTACATTCAGCGATATACGGGAATTACGATTTACCAGTAACGTTAGTACAAGAAAACATTACGAAGGATTCTGTATGATCTGGTACGAGAGGAGGTCCATGGGGGGTGTGACCCCGTGAGTTACCGCACTGCGCGACACCAACCATAGTCACGCCACTGAGTACACTACCAATGAAATTCACCACAAAGTTACCGTTCACGAATAATTTATTGTACTCGACGGTGAAGCTCGCACGCTTCTTTGTGCGCGACACGAAAGTGGTTCGTGTCCAGGGTAGTAAGTGGGTGGTGGTGGTGGAGGTGGTGGTGGTGGTGGAGGCTGAGAGGTGACGAGAAAGCACAGACGATGACGACGATGACGATGACAGACGATGACTACGACCCTGACTGCGACGTGAGCGCGTTGTGGTGAGGTTGAGGCGACGCAGATCCAGGTGGGCGGTGTCCATCGCAAGGCGGCGAGGTGCTTGCGAAAACTCGTGGAGAGAAGTACATCGTGGGGTGTGCATTACCGTATCGCTCACATGGCAACTTCATCCCTGCGTGGTCCATCAACCCCACCTCTATACTCTGCTGGATTAGTCTCCGCTGTGTGCGGCCATTTTTACCCACCAACGGCTGGGTGAGGGGCCTCCCCCACAACGCTGCTGGTCATCGCCACTACTTGAACATTCCGTTGCTGAAGTAGGAGAGCATGAAAGTAAGTGGCAGCGTAGAATAGCGGTACAACCACGAATGCCGTGGCACTGCCACTGTGCCGCACACGGCGTAGAACGGGGCAGCAGCAGCCACCTCGGGCAGCCTGACCCTGCGTTGAGGTCACTCGTTCTGCTGGACGTCCGCGGAACGACTGGAGATCTGGGGGAAAGTGCTTTGTAGCTTGTCGGAGTCCCCCGGTGTGAATAAATATTCAGATTGTGATCCAGGCACTATCCAGGCGTAAATCTTCTGAGATTCGACAATATTGGACGACTTCCGAGCGATTTGGACATCGGCGGTCAAAACTCAAATGAAACCGAATTCAGGATCAAGGCACTCAAACGAGAAAGTCCTCATCTTGCGAGGTTCGTGGTGGAAATTGCACATTACCAAGGCGGGAGTCAATAAAAAATGTTTTTAAGGAAAACCTTAATTTTACTTCCCAATAATTGGCACTCATTTTTGCTGCCACAATAAGGATTATGATCTCAGCCAACCCACGACTGGGATTTGAATTCGAAACTTTGGAACTGTGAGTTGAATTGCTCTAAAAGTCTCTGAGCACTCTGAACAACCCACGGCATTACCGAAGAAATTGAAAACAGCGGTGCACAGACATAATCAATATTACATTAAATATTAAATCTATATTAAATTAACCTAAATGTAAGAACAGCAGGTCATCGCTGTACAATTTCCATATCGAGTTCCAGAGTGTCCCCGTGTGTAAGACGTTCTTCCCCCCCCCCCTTCCCCCCCATAGCGCAAATTCGCAAGTTACGGGAGTCATCTTCTTGGTTCTTTCGGTAAAGTCACGTAGAATGGAAATAATAAAATAATAAAAATACAAATAATAAAATATTTTATTACATTATTATTTTACTTTATTATGTTTAATTTTTATTTGTGTTTCTATTATTTTATTATTTCCCTTCTACGTGACTTTACCGAAAGAACCAAGAAGATGAATCCCTGCAGTCACGAAAGCTTGAAATCGAAATTTTTACGGGAGTCATCTTGTAGGAAGACACTTCACACGTACACTGCTATGCGCTTCACTCTTACGCGCTCAACAAAAAAAGAAAACGAGTGAAAGAAGATTTTTTTCGAAATGCAGGCAGTCCCCGGGTTACGGAAGGGTTAGGTTCCCGAGAACGATACGTAACCCGAATTTTCCGTATGTCAGAAACTTAACAATTTTCGTGATAGGGTTTTACCCTTTCAACTGGTACAAAAACTGACACCTTTATACAAGGCATCATGTTTGCAATAACCACAACACAAGCAGTCAAAATGCAAACAAAAATAAACAACTTTTAAGAAAAGCTGTCTCGGGTGTGGAACAATCAACTTCAAGGACAGTGCATATCATTATCATCAGAGTTGTTTCTTTTTGTTTGCATTTTGACTGCTTGTGTTGTGGTTATTGCAAACATGATGCCTTGTACAAAGGTGTCAGTTTTTGTACCAGTTGAAAGGGTAAAAACCTATCACTATATTTTGCCACTGCTAAAGGAGGTGTCTCATAGTGAACAATTTTCCTTTCCAAAAATCAAAGATAAATTCCATTTGCCTTACTCTTCGATTTAAGCCCGAACGCGGTTCAAGGCCGCTGCCCACCTTAGGCCTCCTCACCCCGCGGTATTCATCCGCGACCTCGCCGCGCCGCACTACTTGCGCTCACGTAACCGGCGCAAACATTTCCGCGCACTGGACTATTTTTTCGTGGACGCGATTCACGGGGAAGCATTTCCGTAAGGTCGGGTTTGCGTAAGTCGGGTCTTCCGCAATCCGGGGAGACTGTTTGTAACAAATACCTTTCTACGATAGCAATTAAAAGTAACAAAAACTATTTATATTTCTGATGGCATCCCCGCCCCGTCGTCAAGGCTACGCCACCGTAGAAGAAGCAGCGAACGGGAGCAGTTAAGAAGCCCTGAAGGTGCTCCTTATTAAGTAACCTTTGAAAGTATTAACCATTTGAATCTTATTCTTATTATTTGTGATGAAACTCCGGATTTAGCATTTTTTTGTAATGGTAATAATGTTATTATTAAGCATTGCATTGATACGTATTTTGTAAATGCAGCGCTAAAATAACATAGGGAGTGGTGGCGCAGTGGTTAGCGCGCTGCGCTAGGCACCCGAGTTCAATTCCCGCTCACGGCCACCAACACCGGTGACCAACTATCTGAAGCGGTCCTGGGCCTCCCCTAGGTCGACTCAGCCTCGAATGAGTACCTGGGTGCGATGTGCAAACATCGCCTCGAGGGAGACAAAGGCGGCCGGGCGTGGTGCTGGCCACCCACTTCTCCCTCATTTGCCACAGTTCCGGCCTTCATAGGTGCTACTCGCTAACAGCACTTGCCCCTACAGCCTGTGAAGGCTACATGGGGGAGCGGGGAATCTTTGTCTGTGTCAGTGAACGTCGCTTTGTGGAGCTTGGGGGTGCCGTGGATGCCAGAAAAAAAAAAAGAAACTCCGCAGATTTTAACAAAAATACCAAAAAAATTAACTAAACCTCCTTTTGGACCGCCGTGTAAAACCTGCCCACGGAGGTGACTCACCGGCATCGGAGATGTCGTCCCAGTACGGGGAGTCGAACTCGAACTCGGCGCTTAGGATCTTCCGAAAGAGGTTCTTGTCGTGGTTTTCGTAGTCTTCCTCGTCCTGGTCATCGTAGAAGGGTGGGTTCCCCGAGAGTCTGGGGGGTAAGGGAAGGGGGTCGGGGCAAGGGGGGTGGCGTTATCCGACGGGAGGCTTCGCGCACGGCACCGCACATCCACGTGGTTCCAATCACCTTCGTCACGTGACGCGACAGCGCACGTGACATTTGGGGGAGGGGCGAGGACCGGCAAACCGCAGCCAATGAGCGTTGAAGGAGGCAATTTGAGAGATGCGTGTTCGTGACTGCGAACGTAGCAGGTGTCGGATGTCGCCGTTACTTCAACAGCACGGAGCAATCGGTAAGGAGTTCCGTACGACTTGTCAGCAGTCAACTTGCCGGTAGTGAGTAGATGTGTGCGGGGGGTGGGGGAGGTGCAGGTGTGTGCAGGTGTGTGTAGGTGTGTGTAGGGGTGTGTAGGTGTGTGTGTAGGTGTGTGCAGGTGTGTGCAGGTGTGTGTGGGTGTGTAGGTGTGTGTGTAGGTGTGTGTAAGTGTGTGTAGGTGTGTGTAGGTGTGTGTGGGTAGGTGTGTGTGTAGGTATGTGTAGGTATGTGTGGGTGTGTAGGTGTGTGTGTGTAAGTGTGTGTAAGTGTGTGTAGGTGTGTGTAAGTGTGTAGGTGTGTGTGTGTGTAGGTGTGTGTGGGGAGCGATAGTGTAGCGGTTAGCGCGCTGCGCTATGAACCCGGCGACCCGAGTTCAATTCCCGCTCACGGCCAACACCAGTGACGATTATCTGAACCGGTCCCGGGCCTCCCCTAGGTCGACTCAGCCTAAAATGAGTACCTAGTGCGATGTGTAAACATCGCCGCTAGGGAGACAAAGGCGGTCGGGCGTGGTGTTGGCCACCCACCCTTTCATGTGCCGTGTTAGCCTTCATAGGTGCTCGCTAACAGCACTTGCCCCTACAGTCTGTTAAGGCTATACGGGGGATCTTTGTCTTTGTAGGTGTGTGTAGGTGTGTGTAGGTGTGTGTAGGTGTGCTCACAGGATGTAAATGACGACGCCGGTCGCCCACAGGTCCACAGGCCGCCCGTACCGCTGCCTCCCCACCATCTCCGGAGCTGCAGTGGGCAACAGCAGCAACAACAACAACAGCGTCAACAACAGCAACAACAGCAACAATAACAGCGACAACAGTAACAGCGGCAACAACAGAAACAACAGCAACAACAGCAACGACGACAACAACAACAGCGACAACAGCAACAACACCATTGGAACCTCCTTTGCCAGTAGCAAAATATGATAATTGTTTTTTTTACCCTTTTATCTGGCAACACAACTGACACCTTTTGTTACGAGGAGTCATGTTTGCATTGACCACAATACCTGCGGTCGGAATGCGATATTAGGGAGCCACTAAACGGCAAAACTCGTTTCTTCAGAGCCGCTATTTGTGTTTAGCTTGTTTCCCTTCCCCCTGCACCTCCGATCAGCACGGCTGGCTACGTACGGTGTGAAAGAAGTTCAACGTGCACACATACATACAGCAGGAAAGACCTGCTGGCTTCAATGGATCATGGGTTCAATTCCTAAGGTGCCTTTCTCTTGCATGCTATCCCCATCTCTGCCCCCCGGGTTTCTCCGCTTTCCTGCAACAGCTTGAACGAAAAAGAAACATGCCGTGAGACTGGGAATTGGCCAAACATCCCAAATGCTGGAAACCCACTCGCCGTTTTAACCTCATCGGGATCGCTCACAGCGGCAACGTTGCCCCCCCACTGAGAAAAACCTCCACTGGGCCCCTCCTGAAAACGAGTCTTCTATGTACGCGGATTTGTTCGTAGGTCCAACTTTACTGCTGTCGATTCCAAACACGCTGTACGGCATGGACACTAAACACGGGGAATGGCTTTACGAGTTGTATAATCTCCTTTAGACGTAGATGCCACTGGTTATCCATGTTCTGCAGATGTAGATGCCACTGGTTCTTCACGTTCTGCATATGTAGATGCCACTGGTTCTTCACGTTCTGCAGATGTAGATGCCACTGGTTCTTCATGTTCTACAGATGTAGATGCCACTGGTTCTTCGTGTTCTGTAGATGTAGATGCCACTGGTTCTTCATGTTCTGTAGATGTAGATACCACTGGTTCGTCACGTTCTGTAGATGTAGATACCACTGGTTCGTCACGTTCTGCAGATGTAGATGCCACTGGTTCTTCATGTTCTACAGATGTAGATGCCACTGGTTCTTCATGTTCTGCAGATGTAGATGCCACTGGTTCTTCATGTTCTACAGATGTAGATGCCACTGATTCTTCACGTTCTGCAGATGTAGATGCCACTGGTTCTTCACGTTCTGCAGACGTAGATGCCACCACCGCCATCTATTGCACGGCGGTTGAACTTACGACTCTCGGTCCGAGCAGGCAACTGGACATACGGACAGGGTTTGTTCGTATCTTTGAACGTTTGTAAGTCGAATGTTCGTAAGTAGAGGCGTATGTTGAATTTATTTCCCACAGCACATAGCGATCCATGCTAATCGGAGGTTTGAGGCTCAGCGAGGCTTAAGGAATCATAATCCTACAAACTCACAATAACAGTAAATACAGGGCATTAACATCATTATTATTGCTCTCAATTGGAGCCGAGATAAATTGTCCCTTCGAGAAAAAGGAGGTCGTGACATGTATCGCAGCAGCAGGAGACGGGTTTATTTTTTTCCTAGGCTACGTAAAATCACTCGCTCAGAGCGGAGGTCAACTCGAGCATTAAAGGACGGACGTTTGGGGGGAGGAGTAATGCCTGCGTTTCATTTGAGAGGTCAAAGAGCCGGACTTCAACGAAGCAACTACAAAAGATCCTTCTGACCCTTTCGAGTGCAAAAAGTGTTCACGGACGCGATGAGGTGGTCAGAAACTCGCCCGTGCTACTCCAGCGGAGGCGGTGTTAGCAACGCGCTGACACGAACTCTCTCTCTCTCTATCTCTCTCCTGAAGGCCCCCCTCTCTCTTCGCGGCCAGCACGCCTCCATGTTGGCATTCAGTTCCCCGGACACCACGATGTGAGTGACAGTAGAATAGCGGTAACTCTAGTTTGAGACCGGAATGTCGCGACCGGCGTCGTTGTTGCGATGCGGCAGGAAGATGAGGTCCGCGGTGAGCGAGACGTGTGGTGTGCACGGTGGAGGAGGACAGGTCACCGAGACGGCCATTGGAGTGACACCCAGAGGTCAGTGACGAAGGAGATGACCCAAAGCCACACGGTGGTGGTGGTGGTGGTAGCGGCGGTGGTGGTAACCTTCTTCCTTCGTAAGGCTGTTGACGTAGCTGCAGAGCAACAACTACAATCTCACATTCAGGTGGTCAGGCCCAGACCACCGCGTGATGACCAGCGGAGTAGTGTATCGTCGCCTTCGTAGTTGTGGATCGGGCATTGAAGTCGTGCTACGTTGTACGGTCTGTTCTGGATGACCACAGCCGCGCACCGCTGGAGAGCTTTTATTTATATTTTCCACGTGCGCATCAGGTATCCGCGTCTGCTGCCACGGTTTGTGCAGTGGATGCGGTTTAGGGTGGAACCGTGAGCAGCTCCGTGGAAGATCAGAACCCAGCGAGTGGTCACGGGACCGTCAGAGTGGGCCACGGAGAATGGGAATTGAGCCATGCGCAACAAAAGCGTTTTATTTCGATTTAAATCTTTCGTGACTGCAGGGATTCATCTTCTTGGTTCTTTCGGTAAAGTCACGTAGAATGGAAATAATAAAATAATAAAAATAAAACATAATAAAATAATTATCACGACGTTTCGGCCACAACGTAAGCAGCCGTTCTCAGGTGGAGAACCGGTCTGTCGAGAAGACAGAGTCTAACTCTGTCTTCTGACTCTGTCTTCTCGACAGACCTGTTCTCCACCTGAGGACGGTTGCTTGCGTTGTGGCCGAAACGTCGTGAGAATTATTTTATTATGTTTTATTTATATTATTTTATTATTTCCATTCTACGTGACTTTACCGAAAGAACCAAGAAGAAAAAAAGTTTTGCAGATGAAAGTGACGAGCAAAGCTCCGCTGACACCGACGGCCCTCGGCCACGATGACCTCCTGAGAGGCGAGGAGATGATGGTGTTGTCGAGATGAAGTGCAGAAGCCAACTGCGGTGGGCTGGAGAGTCATCGTAGCTCCTGTGACGGAAGCGCAGAGCCAGCCCCGTCGAGGCTTGCCGTTATTTTACATGCGGCTCGAAATTTGTCAAAGTGATAAAAAAAAAACTTTTAGGAATTTAACGACTGATTTGCATTCAAGAGAGAAACACATTGTTTTGGGATTATAATAAAGGTTTAACAGCTTTTAGCTTATTTAAATTTAATGGCCCCATTTTTTTTTTGTTCTGATATATTTAATGCATTAAATGTTTTATGAAAAGATCATAACCGTAACAATTTAAGTTTTCAGGACTCGGCTATTAGAAGGTCGGGGAGTTTAAGTCATCGGTCTGGGGTCAATGTAAAACGAGCACCGCTTGAAGCATTGGACGGGGTGACTTACCCCCCCCCCCCCCAAACCATGGAAATGTGGAATTGCAACAACTGGTTCAGTGCTACTCAACTGAGATGAACATCACAACATTTAGGGGAGCGATGGAGGCGAGATGTTAACTACCTCGCCTGGTGTACAGGAGGTCGTGGGTTCGATCCCGACCCTGACGCCTGCTGCTGTATATTTGGAGTTTGCGTGTCTCTCACCCTGTGGTTGCGTGGATTTTTCTCCGGGTCCTCCGGTTTTTCCCTCCACGTTTAGAATCACCATCACGCTTTTTAGAATATTTGGCTGCTATTAATTTCCACCTGATCATAAGCCACTTCGTTGAGCTATCATTTGTGATCGCCACGTCGCTTCAGTGGGTGTTACCTGGTAAAATAAAAAAATAGTTTTCGTTTTTAATAATATTGCCCACTTGACAATTACCGTGCATTGCATTCAAAGATAATTCACCACGCTTATATTTACATTATTCATTAATCAACATAATATCTCCAACGAGGAAGGGAACATTTTCCCGTAATATCACCTATTAATCGGAACGTAAGAACGTCTCCTTTACAAGGCCACACGTGTTGATATTGACGAACGTGTTGGGTTCGTTATTAACTGTGTCAACGCAGCAGGAGGAGCAGCATCATTTTGTTTTCTCACAGCGCGTTGCGGGCAGCTTTTGCCTTCTGTGCCCACATTGCACGTACGGTGTTCGACATAGTCGCACGGTTGCCCCTTGCTTCTCGTTCGGTGCGATGCTTTATTTTTCGGACCGTCAGACAGCGTTCGCGAGTGGACGGTGCGAAGAGGGAAAGACATGACGCACCATTTGTTCAAGAGAGCAAACGACAAGCGATGATGTTGGGAGAGAGCCCAGGGGATCGGCAGCCTGTGGCTGCAGACCCGCATGCGGGGTGGATCTTCAAGGAACCAAGTTCAAATTCGTGTATTAGGTGTAGCCCTGTGAGCCATTCGGCTCTTGAATCGGGTGCAACCGCAACAAACAAAAAACTAAAACATGAACAAAAACATCTTAAAGTGAATATGTGACTGAGTGCAAACAGAAAATCCAAGAAAAGACGGCAAAATATTGCAGAAAATGCACCGTACACCAACGCTGTGTGCAAAAATCCCAGTGGGATGCAAGTCAAACAACAACAACCACAAGACAACTTAGATTAAGGCCATCAGTCTAACTCCGTACTACAACAAACAAACATGGCCAAAGCAAAACACTTTTCGAAAATCACCAAAAAAAGCCATGAAAGTGATCATAGGAATCGCTGCTTTGTGACCGTTATTGTATCAAGGACTGCCACCGTCTCGTATTGAGGTTTTTTTTTAAGAATAAAAAAAGTATCTTCCTTATTATTTTGGTTGCCGACCCCCTGGGACAGAGGATGTAGATGTCAACGCTTAATAAGATGATGATGATGATATCGTGATGATGCTGCTGCTGCTGACAATGAAGATGCTCGTATAATGATGCTGAACTCTGGCGGGCAACTGTCCCCAAAGCCCCGATGTATGATGACATTTTCCTTCGTCAGACATGGCCTCGCTGGCTTGCGCACATCATGA